AATTAGAGTGATATTTATATATATTGAATTTCTATATATCATGTTATTTATTTTAAATTATTGATTTTGAAATTGAGATTAAAAGGTTTATTAATTGTTGAATTAGAATAGTATTTATATATATTGAATTTTTATATATTAAGTTCTTTGTTTCAAATTATTAATTTTGGACTGAGTTTGAGATATGTATGCTAATTGAAGTATTATTTTTATTGAATTTATATATCAAAAGTTTGGGATTTTGGAATATTGCATTTGAGATTGAGGTTGAAATTGGTATTAAAATTGAGGTTGAGATGTATATGAGTATTGAACTAGAGTAGCATTTGTACTAAAATTTTATATACTAAGTTGTTTGTTTTTATTTATTGATTTTGGAATTATGTTGGAGATTGATATTGAGATATGTATGCTTGAGGTGTTATTTTTGTTAAATTTGTATATATAAAGTTTAGGAATTTTGAGGTATTGTGTTTCATATTGAAATTGAAGTGCATATGGATATTAAACTAGAATAGTATTTTTATTGAATTTCTACATATAAAGTTATTTATTTTAAATTATTGATTTTGAGATTAAAATTGCCTATTAATTGTTGAATTAAAGTGGTATTTGTATATATTGATTTTCTATATATCATGTTATTTATTTTAAATTATTGATTTTAAGATTGAGATTAAAATACTTATTAGTTGTTGAATTAGAGTGATATTTATATATATTGAATTTTTATATATTAAGTTCTTTATTTCAAATTATTAATTTTGAGATTGAGTTTAAGATACGTATGTTAATTGAAATATTATTTTTATTAAATTTGTATATAAAATGTTCGGAATTTTGGAGTATTGCATTTGAAATTGAAGTTGAAATTGATATTAAGATTGAGGTTGGGATGTATATGAGTATTGAACTAGAGTGATAATTGCATTAAACTTTTATATACAAAGTTATTTATTTCTAGTTATTGATTTTGGGATTATTTTTGAGATTGATAAAGAGATATGTATGCTTGAGGTGTTATCTTTATTAAATTCGTATATATAAAGTTTAGGGATTTTGAGATATTGTGTTTCATATTGAAGTTAAAGTGTATATGGGTATTGAACTAGAATAATGTTTTTATTGAATTTCTATATATAAAGTTATTTATTTTAAATTATTGATTTTGAGATTGAGATTAAAATGCTTATTAGTTGTTGAATTAGAGTATTATTTGTATATATTGAATTTCTATATAGAATTATATATAAAGTAATTTACTTCAATTATTAAAATTGAGTTTAATATGAGTATGGTTATTGACTTATATGGTTATTGACATTTTGATTTGATTATTATGACTAATATGTTAATATACATTGCCAAATTGAAATTCATGTTAGGTAATTGAATAATAGAGGACCATAGTTGGATAGATCGTTGTGTAGATGATCATGGTTTTGTTTCTAATAAATTTAAAGAGAGAGTACATTTTTTTGTGAGATTTGCATTCTCTAGACCCCATGCAAAATCAGAGATTAAGTGTCCTTATTCAAAATGTAGATGCAGAAAATGGAGGAACCTTAAGGTTGCCTCCATTCATTTGTATAGGCATGGATTTATGAACAACTATTATATTACACATGGTATGTTCATGGAGAGACGTCCAACAATCCAGCAAGAAACTTTATAGAGGAATCTTCTAACCCGAGGTTTGTTAGAAATGAGCCAGATGCAATGTATCATGAAATTTTAGTTGATGCAATTGGTCCATAGGGTGAATACAATGAGGAGCCAATGGCTGAGGAGCCAAATCGTAAGGCAAGAGAATTTTGTGAACTTCTACATACTGCAGAAGTTCATATAAGTAGTGAGGAACAGAATGTGATTATTTTTTCATGGATGGCAGAAATGCTAAACATGAAGACTCTTTATAATATGAGTGCTACTAATTGGGAGATGGCATTATCATTGAAACGAAAGTTGTTAAGTGTAGAGGATCGAGAAAGGTGCCGAAAGATCTCTATAGTGCTAAAACAATGATAAATATGCTCAGACTTGAGTAGAAGAAAATTGATGTTTACATCAATGATTGTTTCTTGTATTATGATGAACAAATCAAGAATTTAAATGCTTGTTCAGTGTGTGGAGAATCTCGTTATGAGCTAAGGAACATGGTTGTGGTGAGGCAGAAAGTAGTTCCAAGAGAATCTTTGTGGTACCTTCCAATTACCCTAAGATTGCAATGGCTATACATGTCTAGGAAAATGACGAAGCATATGACATGGCATTTGAAATGGAGTGATGATTCTGATGAAGTTATTCATGTTGCAGGTAGTCAAGCATGGAAGCACTTTGATGAAACATACCCAATATTTGCCACAAAACCTAGAAATGTTAGACTTGGGTTGTGCACAGATGGTTTCAATCTGTTTGGTGCCTTTGCATCAACTTATTGTTGTTGGCCTATTTTCCTTACAGTTTATAACGTGCCACCTAAATTGTGCATGAATTCGAAGCATATATTCCTATTCTTGATAATTGTTGGACCTAAAAGTCTAGGAAAAAACATTGATGTTTTGCTTAGGCTATTAATTGATGAACTTAATGAATTATGGACAAATGGGATTGAAACTTATGACAATTTTAGAAAATAGAATTTTATCATGAAAGCTGCATTGTTATGGATTGTAAGTGATTTTGTAGATTATGGCATGTTGTTTGGATGGAGCACACATGAGAGGTTGTTATGCCTTTATTGCATGGAGAACACTAAGGCTTTTCAACTTCAATTTGGGAGGAAAACATCATTTTTTGATTGTTATTGTCAATTTCTACCTCCTACACATCCATTTCATAGAGATAAAAAAATTTTAACATAAACAGATTGAAACATGCCCGCCCCCCCTCCACGACTAGATGGTCATTCAATGGAGGAGTGGGTTAATGAGTTGCCAGACATTATCTTTGGCCAATCACTTCGTAAACAATCAATCCTGGGATTTGGTGTTTTCCATAATTGGGTGAAATGTAGTTTATTTTGGGAACTACCATGTTGATTCGTCATAACTTTGATTGTAATATCCCAAATTTTCTGAAATTCTAGCATTTAAGTTAAGGACCTTTGTGTGATAAAATATTATTTTGGGGCTTATTAGTTAAAATATCCAAACTTGAGGGACTTAAAGAGGAAAATTTGGATAAGGATCAGCTATTTTTTTCCTTCTTTCTTCTTCCTCACCCACGCGCCTGCTTTTCTTTTTCCTCCCCTGCACCGAGCAACAAAAACCCAGCCAAGCCGACAGCCTTCCCTTGAAAAACTGGTAGGAAGCTCGAAATTTCTCCTTCTTTCTTGTTCAATCACAAGATTTTGGGGCTTAGAACTCTCTCTAAACCCAAAAATTTCTAGATCTGTTCTGCTCTGCGTCTTCCTCCCTTGCTGTCCGCAAATTTCTGGTGGGTGGGTGGCGAAATTTTCAGGTTTTTGGTAAGAAGCAGCCTAAAATTCCTTTGTTCTTCTTTGAATTGGCTTGGGTTAACACTAATTACTCTTGGTTTTTCCAATTTATTGGTAGATTTCCTGATTTTTCCCCTGCACTGCCGCTGGCCTTCCCCCAAACTGCAGCTCTGGTTTTGGCTGCTAAATTATGGTATGTGACAGCCCTTTTAAGCCTTAAATTATCCATTAGCTGCTGAGTTTGTCCATGAATTACTGCCCCATGTGTTGTCCGAATTTTGTTGAATTTGGGGGATGAATTTCGGTAGCTTAAGCTATGTTTTTAAGCTTGGTTTAAGTGTAAATTAGCTTGATTTGGGCTGTTGTGATTTTGGAAAAAATCCCGTGAATTAGCCATTGTTTTGCCGATTTATGGAAGTGCAGTTATTGTTCATGGCGTGATCGCTGTTCACAGGCACTGTTCATGAACTAGTGGCCAACAGTTAGCGGGGATTAAATGTTTAGTTTGTAATATAAGAACAAATTTGGAGATGTCCGGTCATATGGAGACTAATAGAAATAGCATCGTGATTAGGGGTGATCCTAATGAAGTTTTCATTTTGAATTTGTGATAGTGCGGTATTAATTATGGGGTATTTTGATTAGGTTCGTGAGTGTTCTATCACCGGAGTACTTGGCTTGCGTTTCGGATTTGAGGTAAGTAAATTTATGATAATGCCTATACAGTTTTTAAAAGCGTGTTTTTGACTTATTTTTGAAGTGGTGACGGGACTAAACCTGTTTTATACAAAAGTAAGTATGATTGATTTGAAGTGAAATTTTTATGCTTTTCATTAAATTGAGCATGCCTACTTGAAATTTAATTGATTGTCTTGATGATTTGAAAGTGATTGGTGAATTATGGTTTTTCTGTTAATTTCTGCCTGTTTTGTCTTCGATGTGGTCATGTTATTAGTGTGCTCGCTAGTGGGAGGTTTATAAACGCTAGCACATGTCGACATGTTATTGATAGAACTGGTTCGTTCGAGTGACCCTGCTAGTGGGGGTTATACACCAGCAAATAATGTAGCTTGCCAGTGGGAGGTTTATAACACTGGCCATGACCTATAGAGGAGACGTCTATTTCGTTTCCGTACTCGTACTAGTTTTTCATGATTATACTGGTTGGCATGCTATAAGTTTAATTAAGCGCTATACATATTTACTTATTGAGTTATCTCATAGTTTTTCCTTGTCCACCATTTCAAGAAGCGAAGTCAAGGATGGGGAAAAACGAGGGGAGTGACGAGTTAGAAGGCTAGCCATCTTGTAAATTGAATATAGATTTTAGATGTAGTCCATGCTCTTGTAAGTTAGACTTTATTTAGAGATTTATGATATCAAAGCAAATTTTGTAATTTTTATCTTCAGATTTTGTGGTATCAGAGTATGGTATGATATGTTTCGAGCCTTGTGCATTTGTGGGACTTTCTCACAAGTGTACGGTGTTTGTCATGCCTTGGATTTGGGTTCTGGGGCATGACATTGATGTCATGTATTATGAAAAGAATTTTTTTGATAACATTAAAAATATTATCATGGATGACTAAGATTGTACGAAGGGTAACCCAAATGCTAAAATGGATTTGCATCTATATTGCAGTAGACTTGAATTGGAATTGATCCCTTAATATGATGGAATAGCTTTAAAACCCAATGCTACATATGCTCTTATTTGAGAGCAACAAGCTCTTGTTTGCCAGTGGCTAAAGGATTTGAAATTCCCAGATGAGTATGCATCTAACATAGCACATTGTGTGAAAATGCATGACTTTCAATTGTCTGGAATGAAATGCCATGACTATCATATATTCATGCAGCGTCTCTTGCCAATTGCTTTTTGTGATCTCTTTATAGATGTGGTTTGGGGTCTTTTAACTGATGTTAACAACTTTTTTTGAGCTTTATGTGCTTTGATTATTTGAGTTAGTAACACGGAGATGTGGGAGGAAAAAATTGTCAAGATCATTTGCAAGTTAGAGAAAGTATTTCCTCCAGCTTTCTTTAATTCGATGGAGCATTTGACAATCCATCTATCATGTGAGGTAAAAGTTGGAGAACCTGTCCGATTCCGTTGGATGTACCCTTTTGAGAGGTATATTTCATCTAATTTATTTTCACCATAATAACTTTTTTGAGCATATTTAATAATATAATCTTATTAATTAATTTTGTTATTTTTTTAACAGAAAAATGCATGATCTTAAGAAGAAAGTGTTAAATAAAGATCGTGTTGAAGCATCGATTTACGAGGCTAACATTCTTTCAGAAATTTCTTTCTTTTCTTTGCATTATTTTGGATCTAATATACAGACCAGATTGAATCGCTTGCCAAGAAACATTGTTAGCAAGAATGATAATATAGATGGTTGTTTATCTGTCTTTAGAAATCGAGGTCAACCTCTAGGGGGGAGAAATGCATGGGCAAGCAATGTCACCAAGGGAATTAAAGGCAATAGAACTTTATGTTTTGCTTAACTGTGAGGAAGTAAATCCATGGATTGCATTCATTCTTTTTTAACTTTTCTTTATTTAGGTTAATAAAATTTATAGATTGTTTACTCCCACTTCTTAATGTAGGTTTTTCAATTCTCAAATGTATTGCGGACTATTGTCAGACCAAATTGAAATGAAATGACAACTTGAGTTTATTCCTTGGTTTAAAACAACGGTGAGTCATTTATTATAGTAATTTGTATTATTAAGGTTTCAATTTTAATTTTAATAAAAATATAATATTCAATACTTTTATAACAAATGTAGGTGCGTAGCAAAAGATATGAGGTTGATCCATGCTTATTGACTTTAGTAACTAGACTAGCCAATAATGTTAAGGTCTATAATGGTTATTGGGTTAATGGATTTTGGTTTCATACTATCTCATATGAAAAAACACAAAGACCATGAGTAGTGGACTTTGTGGCAAGGGAACCACTTTAAATGATAATGAGTTAGATTATTATGGCCAACTGAAAGAAGTTATCGAGCTTCATTGTTTTGACTCGTCTATTCCTCGATCAGTGATTTTGTTTAATTGTGACTGGTGTGATCTCAACAAAGGCATTATGATCCATTTGTCATCTAGTATAGTTGACATAAATCCTCAGTTTAAACTACAAACAAATGAACCTTTCGTCTTAGCAAGTCAAGCCCAACAAGTGTTCTACACTTCTTATCCATCTAAAAATCCTCATAGGAAAGGGTGGTATGCTGTATGTAAGATTAGGGCAAGAACAATAATTGACACTTCATCTCTGGGTGATGGTGTAAATGATTATTATCAGGATGATAATCCTCTTATGCCGCAGTTGGTGCAACCCTCAACTATTATAGATGATCGTGTTCCTTTAGCATCTCCGGGAGGAGAACAAGTGGTGATTACTAAGGACATGCAATTATCTTATGCAATTGAATGAAATGAGGAAGAATGTGTGGACAAGGATGATGAGGAAGGGGACGAGTTTGAGGGGGGAGAAACACCAAAAACAGATGTTCCAAATTACTTAACCGAGAGTGATAATGACTAGCTGTATTTTGTTTGACCTTTTTATTGAGCTGAGCAAATGATGGATGGCTATTTATATTTTGTTTGTGTTACTAAAGTAAGACATTGTTTATATTATATAATATTTATATAATGTACATATATATTTTATTTATATTAATAGATATTTAAATTTATACTTACATTTATGTTTACTTTATATATTTATATTGTATGTATTGTATTTTTTATTATTTTATATTTATATATTTCATTTAAAAATATCTTTAACTATTTGAGAAGTTAGTAAGAACCACTTTAAATGATGATAGTAAGATCTCAACTTTGGGTTTGGGTCATAGTCATATACATATGTACTTCAATTAGGTTGATTTAAAGGGCGTTCTTAAAGTTAGCTTAATTTGTGGAATTTTTGCAATAAATGGCAGCCAAAAATGTTAGTGGAAAGAAACAGAAGAATTAATCATGAAGGATAAATTAATACAGCATTTCATTAAAAGACTGGCATACACTAGAAGCATTTCATAGACATATATTTGATTGTCCAACCTTTGTTCTAAAAATTAAGTATTCATCTTTTGCTTTTTTCCCCTAATATTCAGAAAGTGCTGGAAGACAAAGATTAACTCAATAATAATATAAAGGTTAAATCCCCATTTTGGTCCCTGAACTATTGTACGGACCTCCAATTTGGTCCATGAACTAAAGAAATCCTTGATTTGGTCCTTAAACTATTGTACGGACCCCCAATTTGGTCCCCACTGTTTATAATTTGGCCTAAGTTGGTCCTTGAACTATTGTACGGATCCCTAATTTGGTCCTTATTGTTTACAATTTCGCCCCAATTTGGTCCCTGAGCTATTATTTAACAGAAGGACCAAGTTGGGGTTAAATTGGTAAACAGTAGGGATCAAATTGGGCATCCGTACAATATTTTAGGGACTAACTTGGGAGTCCGTACAATAATTTAGGGACCAACTTAGGGGTCCGTACAATAGTTCAAGGATCAAATTAGGGATTTCTTTAGTTTAGGGATCAAATCGGGGGTCCGTACAATAGTTCAGGGACCAAAATAGGGGTTTAACCTAATATAAAATTATAAAACTATAATAGCTAGCATAACAAGCATATGATTTTAGTAATAGGATATTAATTATCAATGTCTTTTGTAATATTTCTAGCCTGAGAAAACTGCAAAAAAATTCATATTAAAAATTGTTGGATTTTTGGTGGTGAAAAGGGGGGAGAAGGAGACACCTGAAGTTCCCTCTTTGGGTGAGGTCAAAACCAATTTTCTTCATTCATCTTCTGCCATTATATAGAGGAAATCTCATAATACATCAACAGCATTTTCTACCTAATAAAATAAAATTTTCGACCTTAACACATTGACTAAGTTCTGCAACTCCATGTGGCTAATAATGTGGTGTTGGTGCAGCTCTCACTTCTTTCCATTTTCTACCACTATGTTGCAGCTCTGACACCATAGCTCCAACAAAAACATTAGTCATCCCACTAAAATCTTAAAAAAAAAAAACAAAGGGAAATTAAGAAGCAATTAGGATTGGACAAAAAAGTCATTTTCAGCCCTTGTTTGTATGTAGTCCTCAAATGGAAACAACTTTTCTTTAAGTCTAATATATAACGGATTGGAAAAACTGTTGTGTATAGAATTGTATAGTAAAAAGGGCTTGTATAACCTATTTTCCTAGGTACGTGTTAAAATTTATTAATTAAGATATTTTTAATTAATTGTATATAAATTTTCATATTAGATTCATAGCTTTTATATATTTTGAGTATAAATATTATATTTTATTATGTTTTTACATTGTATATTCTATTTTTTTATATTTATATGTTTATTTATTCTATGTATGGTATCTTTAAATTTTTGAATTATGATTCATAAAAGTTTTGGTTATCTCTATAAATGAAAGCTTATGTAATTTTATTATTTTGTGTATACAGATATGGGACGAGGTACTCGAGGTGAGTCATCATCTGAAGAACCTAGTAATACACTAGATAAAGCACAAAAGCAACTTCAACATCTTATTTGTGGGCCTCATAAGGTTGTCCCCACATAGCAGTAGTTGTCTAGTTTGAGCCAGCCTCTCTCAGAGTAGCAGCTCAACAACAACAGCCCACTTTGACTCGATGAGCCATACAGCTGCACTAGCAAGAATAGCCTACTTTGACCCATCCACACTCACAGGTGCAATAGTAGTAGCCTTCATTGCCTGATCAAAAGCTTGGTGTTAAGGCACCAAAGGAGGAGGATGCAGAGGAGATATTTGAAAAGCGTAATTTAGATGTTGAGCTTACTGTTGAGTATGATAAGCTTGATCCTAAGTTGGATGTTGCACTTGAGGAGGAGTTATCTCATGTTGTCTAGAAGACAAGATGTGGCATGGACAAAGGGGACGAAGCACCGACAGATCCAAGTTAAAGAAAATTGCTCAAAATAAATCAACGTGGGTCATGTAGCAATGAGAGATTTGGTAGGACAGCAACAATTATATGGAAGTTTTTATATGATAAACCTGTGCTTTTTTAGGCTAATTGCCCAAAGGAAAATAAGAGGCTTGCTTGGGAGAAGTTCCAAGTATGAAAATAAGATTTAAATATTAATAGATTTTGATTACTAGGATGTTGATGCTGAGAATTTGGTGTTGGTGTTCATTATATGGATGTGTTTGATAATTTAATTTTTTTTTTGTTTATAGTTAATAGGTAGAAAAGTTGATAGTTAAGATAAAACTTTGCCCCCTTTTTTTTTTTTAAAAAAAAGAAACTATAACCTATTTTCCATTTTCATATGGATGAGTTTAAAATATTTGAGATCTTGGTTAATAGGGGAAAGTTGATAGTTTAGGTGGAACTCTACCATTTTTTGTTTTTTTTTTTTAAAGCTAATCCGTTATGTTACATCCCGATAAAGGTAAAATATTTAGGGGCTGAATTGGAGACACGTTATTTATCTCATTAAAACTTTTCCCCACATTAAGAAGCTGTTGATCATAGGAATTTCCATAACACAACATTAATGAGTTTGGGGCTTAAAAATATATATATATATTTAATATTTATAAGTAGAAAACAAATAGGACCTCGATAGTTTGATTATGATAAACAAAAAGATAAAGGTCCAGTTCTTATATCATTTACATAGTGTTGAGGTGTGCTGATGTTGTAACCGAATGAGTCAGCAGTGATGATGATGTGCAAGATGATTAGGATGACACCCACGAAGATGAGGAGGGGTTCTTTCGGTGGCACCTATCTCATGTGTGCAAGGCTACATGCTACGGGCCATCTCGTTCTGCCCAGCGATGATGTCCTACAGCAAGTTTTCCAGTGAAGTTAAAGAATGTTCCAATTTTCCAACCAAGCTGATAGAGTTGATAGGCGATGGTGAAAACCCAAAGATTCAGAGTGATTATACTACTATCAAAATCAACAACAAGAATATATGTAGGTTAAATCCCCATTTTGGTCCCTGAACTATTGTACGGATCTCCGATTTGGTCCTTGAACTAAAAAAATCCTTGATTTGGTCCCTAAATTATTGTACGGACCCCTAATTTGGTCCCCACTATTTATAATTTGGCCTAAGTTGGTCCTTGAACTATTGTACGGACCCCCAATTTGGTCCTTACTGTTTACAATTTCGCCCCAATTTGGTCATTGAGCTATTATTTAACAAAAGGACAAAGTTGGGGCTAAATTAGTAAACAGTAAGGACCAAATTGGGGATCCGTATAATAGTTTAGGGACTAACTCGGGGGTTCGTACAATAATTTAGGGACCAACTCAAGGGTCCGTACAATAGTTCAAGGACCAAATTAGGGATTTCTTTAGTTCAGGGACCAAATTGGGGGTCTGTACAATAGTTCAGGGACTAAAATAGGGTTTAACCATATATGTATATTGCTGGAAGGGTGATGGAGATGGTAAATATATGGGGTTCAAAGGTTACAACTTAGGGATCGTCTTCACACATAAAACACTGTAACATAGTAGTAATGACACCAAATGCAACCTCTATCATCTCTAGTGAACATTTGTACCCTATAACGGATAGCTCTCATGTTGGGCATGAGGAATATAATAGTTCTCATTCCGAAATTCCTTCAAAAGCAAAGAAAGGGACAAACTTAACAGTAATGATGGGAGAAGGAAGGATGTCTGCTTGGGGATGCTTATAGGTGGAACACTTGATCCTGTTCTTTGATGCTAACCATGTGGCTTGATCTTCTGAAGCTCAAGAAGGAATACCCAAAAGCCAAAACTGTAGCGTGCTTCTTCCCAACCATGTTGTTTTGTAAGCCTGGAAATATTTTGCGATGTTAGGAATATAGGAAATCGGGAAGAAATGGTGATTTCTGAATGGGTTTTCATCGTGCAGGATGGTAGGATGGTTGATCAAAGATGAAGGGATTTTAAGAGGAAAATGAAGGTCTGATGCTTGTGGTAGCAGGTTGGAAAAAGCTCGTTTGTTCTCTATATCTCCCTTTTTTTTTTTTTGAAGAATAAAGGAAAAGTGATATATATATGTGGCTAGTGGCATTTTTGTAATTCCATGTAATGGGTAAAAAATGTGTAGATGGGACTAGGTGAGTTGTCAAGCTTTGAATGGTTTTGGGCACTATTGACAGCTTCTTTGGCAATAGCATCATGAGTTGCCTACTGGTTCCAACGATGCTTCGTTGGTTCCAACGATGGATTGGAAATTGTCTATTCTTGGAAATTCTCCTAGCCATATGAAACTCCATTTTTAGAGAGGTGATTGAGTGCAACCAGTAGGAACACCACCTGCACTGTGATTTGGTAAGTTCCCCAAGCTCTGTGTGGGATTTTGGGAGATTCTACAAGCAAACAGTGATTTTTGTAGAAGTTTCTAAGGCTATGAAACTTGTGTAGCCACCCTTGCATTAAATATGGCTACAAGTTGCTAATGATGATCCAAATGGCATATCTGGTTAGTCTTCAATGGGATTTCCAGCCTCTGGTTAGCATTAAAGGGTACTATGCCAGAAATTAAGTTTGCTTCCATGCCTTTGCTACCCAACTCTTTCTGGCGAAGTTGGGCAACATTGCCAATGCTAAGCTTCGCTGGCACAAATGCTTTGCTTCGCCAGATGGGCAGCGTTCATCCATCCATGCCAACCAAGCCATTACTCCCATAGTTTATCCTAAGTAATTCTCATGAGCTTGGGTTTATGGGCTTTGCGTTTACTTGTGATAATAACAAAGCACATATGAGTACATGTTTGAGTATCTTGAATATAAGGAACATGTGAATATATGCAGTGAAGAAGGAAATTCCCTTGTGCATTGAAGGAGACTATGTGGACAAATGTTTGCTGCTCCCATTCATTTGCTAGTCGTGGCAAGCACCAATATGTTGTCGTTGTGTATGGCTGGCGTTGCGCTAGAATAAAGAATAGATGATATAGATACGTGCATTGCAATATCATTGTCTCGAGTGAAGCTTTACTAGCTGGTGATACCTGCTAACACATAAAATATAAAAGAGATATGTTATAGATTGGGATTACCGTCGACTAGTAACTTTGTCCCTTTGAATAGAAGAATGATAATTATGCATGACCGTGGGCCATGTTGTATAAGTATTGTAGGGTCAGCCATGAATGGCCTTCCCATAGCGAGAGAGACAATAGTGGTTAGCTTTGTCTATGGTTGGAGTGCGAACTATGTGGAATCGAAAGAGCACTACCACTAGTCTGCCAAGTCGCAAAGGAGTAAATCTCATTAAACCAGAGTCTGCCATAACAAGGAATATGTGATAAGGAGAGGTGGAGTTGTCTCCATGGAAAGGGGATGCCAGTCGCATCCATGGCCTTTGATATAATAAGGGGTGATACCACAAACAAATGCTGGCTCTTCTTGCTGTACCTGCACCGTCAAAAGGTGGTCCTGGTTGTTGTTGCGCACCAAGCACCGCACCACCATGCATGGGCAACCACCAAGGGACTACCAGTTGCTACTTGATGGATTTTTATTGTTGGAGGGTAGCCATCTCGTTTGATCATAGGGTCGCAACTGTTATTGGCCTCATACTAATCGTACTGAGTTGCGTTGACTTTTTGTCTATTTCCATGAGCCAATGAGATGAATATGTAATAAATTTGGCTCTTTATCTATCGCTAGGAGCCGTGTAAATGTAATAGGATTAGCTCGTTGTCTAATAATAAGAACCAGTGATAAAGATATGTAGAAATAGATGCTTGGCCCATTGTCCATCGCTGGAAGCTATACAGATTAGCTCGTTATCCTTTGATGAGAGCCATGCAGCAAAGTAGGCTTTTTATCCATTGCTAAGAGCCAAAGAGATGTAGTAATAATCATGATCGTAAAAAATGCCTAGCCACGTTAGGTAGATAATGTAGCCATGTCTGGCCATGTGTGTGGGGATAGATGTTGGAGTGAGTTACATTTTGAGATGTTTCTGATGAAGCAAATAAGTGCCGTTTTTGGTGCTATTGATTTCGCAGCGACAATCAGTAGAAAATTGGAGTCACACGTCGGATGTAAAAAAAGAATTAAGTGTTGTGGGTCTTTGTTGATGCGAACCCACACATGTCATTAGTTATTTAGTCATGCAAGTTCATCCCTCAACATTAGCCCCCCAAGTGCAATTTCGACAAAATCTTCTTCATTCCGAGGTAACAATGATTCTCTATTTCTCTACTTCACTGTTTTTTTTTTTTTTTGGGTTGCATGTTGCAGATCCTTTATGCCTCTATTGATTTGAATTTCTGTTTCCCATCCTCTTTTTCTTTTGACAAAAGCCCTAAGAGGTGGCTAATCCTTATCCAATCGATGAGGTGTAGCCGTACCACAACCTGTGGTACACTTTCTAGGATGGCTTCCTAGAATTCAACGCTTGGTCAGCGAGACAAATGTTTGAGAAACAGAAGAATTTAGTTTTGCTCGAGGATTTCAAAGGGGTTGATGTTGGTGCATAATGGTTTCCCTCGTCGTGCGACATTATGCAGGCAAAACTCGAAAGGCGAGACTTGCTACCAGTGCCGATTCACTTTGCCTTCTCGTCCGGCAAGATGGAAGATTGGTTGGGCTAGGCTAAGGAAATGCTCATTGATAATGGTTTTGTGGAGATATTGTGCACCGCCGAGGTCCTTAAGTCAGTTGCTCTGAGTCAGACCTTACAAATCAACGGCAATGTGGAATGCCTCTGTCACTTGGTTCAGAGATGGTGCACGAGCACTCATACCTTCATCCTTGCTTTTGGAGAAGTCACTGTGACTTTAGAGGACATGGCAAACCTAATGTCATTACCTATTGTTGGGGAGGAGGATCCATGGCATATAGCATTGACGCTAGAAGAGTGTGTTATGCTAATAGCTTTGAAGAAGATGATGAGGACGACCACCAGTGCTTCTTCTTGTTCATGGAAAGGGGAGTACAACATTGATTTTCAAACTTAGATGCGGTATTTTCAGACTAGCGAAGGCAAGGATACTCCATACGTATGCATGGCTTTCCTTATAGCTTGGTTAAGCAAGTTTGTTTTTGGGGGTTTCTCGAATTGTGAGATTATGGATGAATGTATTCCTCTGGCAATGCGGTTGGCTGAAGGCGTGAGGATTCCTTTGGCTCCACTAATGTTAGGTACACTCTATCACATACTTGATTTGCTGCATTTTGATGAGATTCTTGGCGCTGGCTACTACATCATTGAATCACATGTATGTCTGTCTTTGTTGTAAATGTTTGCATAGGAGAGATTTTGGCCGTATCACCCTAGTCGTGTCACCAGGAGGAAAGCATTGAAAGAATATCCCATGGTAAAGTGGTGGTTACACCAGTGGTGGTTACACCAGTGGAACAGCTTCGCTAGCTTGTTCTTGGATGGGAAAGAGAAATAAAAGAGCAGATTACTCCGAAAGTTGATGGTTTTCTCAATGACTATGGCAGCTTTAATTTCCATGCATACAAGGTGATGCCTGGGACATTCACTCCACTCGAAGTGAGTCTCTCTGACAAAGCACTCCCAACCTGAGAATCAGGTTATGGACTTCACCGCAGGAGACTTGAGCCATTTGGAAGCACTGGTAGCGGTTACACCATCCATGCTACCGTGTACTACATGGCGGGGGACATGGAGCTTGGAGTGTTACTACCTAGAAAGGGTTGCAAGGTAATTTGGCTATGATCAAGATGTCCCTCCTACTCCTCCTTCGGACAAAGCAAATTCGAATAAGGCCATGCGACCTTATATTGATAAGGCAGCCATCGCCATGTGGAGCAAAGGTGTTGCCACGCTGAGGCTCTTCAACATTGCCAGAATGTCAACCATGTCACCGCTGATGTTGGAGTATTGGGGTACACTACTGAAGAGGTTTGAAGCTTTTATTCAATCGTTACCAGAAGTGGTAGAGTACGATTCTGCTTCCCGAGACTGTGATTGTCTTTTCACCCACAATAACTCTTTCTTGAGTTATTGCCACAAGCATTCTTGGGGGTTCTTAATGAGGGAAGATAACGGATAGTGGGTACTCATTTGTCCTCCCATACCTGGCTTGATGGAAGAGGAGTATGGCCAAGTCGGTGCTATTGAAGGAGAACTTGGGCAGGAGGAAATTGGCGATGCTGGAATTGGAGGTAAATATATTCTCTTATCTCTTCTCTTTCTTCCACCTTAAGCTTTGGTTCTTCTTCTATCTAGGAGCTTGGCTAGATTGAATCAGTGTTGAGGAATGCTTTACATTTTTTTGTATTGTTCTCATGGCAATTGTAGATGAAGCTAATGAAGTTATTCCCCTAAGAAAGTCAGTGTTTGGCAAAAGGAAAAGTGTGGCTCAGCCACCCAAAAGTAGAGCACGTAGAGCTTCTGTTTTGCCAGCCAGTAAGCAAAGCAGGGCCAAAGCACCCACGCCCTCCAAGACAAGAACTACCAAGGGTAAGGAGGTGGGTGACGATAGTGACAGTGATGAGAGTTCATGGGGCAATCCAGATCCCGAGGTGATTGAGCGGATCAAGAGATTGCGACCCATTTGTGGTGGTGAGCACATGGGCGAGAAGTACTATGATTTGAGCGCTTCATTCTAGGTAAGTGCATTTCTAGGTCTTTCCTTTGTGGATCCTTTGATCGTTGTCGACCTCACTAAGGATCCTTTGATATGTGGTTTAATGTTTGTATGGGTGGTCATCAGCTTCTAGTGAGAGCTTTGGTCCTATTCCCGTCCCTAGTGATGAGAAAGTTCCATTCAAGTCTGAAAAGGCCAAAAGGGTAAGAGCTTTAATGGTGAACATAGAAGAGGCTTTGGCGAATCTTGATGTTCGTTGAAAAATATTGGCCAGATGTCATAACTCAAAATTTTGATAGAATTTTATTTTAGTTTTATTTTACTTTATTTTATTTTTATTTTTATCTTGATTTTTATTTTAACTAATATGTTTTGTTTTTACTTTCCTTGTAGGGTTTGTGAGCAAAAATGGGGATTTTTGCGAAGAAAATTGGAAAAGGGAGATCAAGAAAATTAAGATGAGGGACTTAATTGAAGAGATGAAAAGTTGAAGGGTGAAATGCATTGAAGTTAAAGCCCACCTATTACCCAAAACCAAAACCCCCCAAAACGCAAAACCCAAAGCTCAAACCCAAAACCCACAAAAAACCCAAAACCCAAAAACCATAAAAAAAAAAAAAAGGAAGAAAGAAAAAAAGGGGGAAGGCATCTCGAACCTTCCCCTTCCTCTTCAATCTTTACTTTTCTCTTTCCCGATCCAGCTTCCTCCCCAAACCAGCCGGTAGCCACAATCGCCAACCATCACTGGCAATCATACACTGCTACGCCCCCCCTTGCACGCCTGCACCCCTACTTCCGGTAATCATACCCTTCTAGACGCCTGTGCCCCTACTTCCTGCACTCCTATGCCCCCTGCACACCCTCTGCACCCCCTTCTTTTGCACCGAGCCAGCCCCCTCTTCTGCAACCCTCTATACCCCTGTTGCTGCACCGAGCCTACGCCCCTGTACTGCTGCGCCCCTTTGCCCTGTTGCACCTCCTGCACTCTACACCCCCAATCCTGCGCCTCTACACTCCTGCTTGCTACAACCCTGTTCTTGCCTCACCTACAAAAAAAAAACAACACATACAAAAAAAAATCGACATCATCAGTGTTGGAGGAAGTTTTTATTTTATTATTTGGCTATATATATAGAAAAAAATCAGATCAAGGGGGGTCTTTTTTTTTTTTTTTTTTTGGTTGATTTTGGGAGTCTTCGTCTGGGTTTTCGAGAGAGGCAGAGGAAGAGGGTGAAGTCTGAAAAGAAAAAAGGAGATCTAGTTTTGAAGAGAGTGGTTTTTGTTTTTGAGGTTCTGGAGAATTCTGGAGAATATTTGGAGGAGGGGTTCTTTTTTTGGGTTTTTCTTTTCAGAGTTTTTCTTCTTCTTCTCATCACGGTGAAAAAAAAAAAGAGAGAAAAGGAAAGAAACAGAAGAGAGAAGTCCGCAAAAGAAGAGGTTTGAGGGAGAAGAAATTCTGTTTGGGAAGAGCAACAGCGTCAAAAACAGTGAGGTGGATTGGGAGCTCCATTTTTTTGGGTCTTCATTGTCAATAGGTACAATTCTGGAATAGAGGATTTTTTTTTGGGAAAATGGAGAAGGAAATGGTGGAAGCTTGATCCCGTGGGTGGGATTCCTTCCATCAAATCCAGATCTGTCTTCTTCTAAAAAATCCGCCGTGTTTGCTTTGTTTTTACCTTCTCTGTTGATGTTTTCATTTTCTTTTATTTAGATATGATGTTAAGTTTATGTATGTTTTTTCCTGGAAACGAAAAATGAAAAAAGGAAAAAATCAAGGATTGTTCTGTTTATTGCTTGATGACTGTTCTTCTTTTACTAAAATGAGATGAATTCAAATTTTCAATTTTGTTTCTCTCTAGATTCTTTTTTTTTTTATTTTATTTGATGTTTGATCTATTTTTGCACGGCTTGGATGAACGGTTTGTGTTCATGGGCTAGCATGACCCGACTCAACCCAATAAGCAAAAAAAAAAATACTAACTAAAAAAGAGGGTAAAAAGTAAAAAAAAAAACAGATATATATGAGAAGTTTTATTAATTAATTAGGTGAGTTAGTTTGATTTATAATTAATGAGGATAGTTAATCTTAATTAAAATAAATTAATCATATTTATTAAATTTAATTTGAGATAATTAGATTTATTTAGTTATCTCAGTTAATGATTCGTAAATATGATTAATTAATTTTAATTAATATTAAATTAATTATTTAATTAAATTAATTATCTTGATTAATTAATTTTAATTTTTAATTAACTTTAATCTTGGTCAAAGTCAAAATTA